AAAAAAAAAAAAAAAAACTGGGTATGGTGGCATGCACCTGTAGTCTCAGCTACTGAGGAAGCTGAGGCAAGAGAATTGCTCGAGATGAAGAGGTTGAGGCTGCAGTAAGCTATGGTTGTGTCCACTGTACTCCAGCCTGAGTGGAAAAAAAAAAGAATGAGGAGGCTGGAGAGGTGCTTTTTTTTTTTGAGACGGAGTTTTGCTCTTGTTGCTCAGGCTGGAGTGCAATGGCACAACCTTGGCTCACCGCAACCTCCACTTCCTGGGTTCAAGCGATTCTCCTGCTTTAGCCCCCCAAATAGCTGGGATTACAGGCATGCACCACCACACCGGCTAACTTTGTATTTTTTGGTAGAGACGGGGTTTTTCCATGTTGGTCAGGCTGGTCTGAAACTCCCACCCTCTTCTGGTGGTCCACCTGCCTCAGCCTCCCTAAGTGCTGGGATTATAGGTGGGAGCCACCGTGCCTAGTTGAGAGGTGCTATTTTTAAGAATAATCAGGGAAGAACTCTGATAAGGTAACATTTGAGTAAAGCTCAGAATCAAATTAGGGATAAAGCCATGCAGATATCTGAAAGGTGAATTGAGGTTGGAAAATGCAGTATCCTTCAAATTCCACAAATCTGTTTCTTTTCTTTCTTTTTGTGATACAGAGTCTTGCTCTGTCCCCCAGGCTGCAGTATGGTGGCTCAATCTCGCTCACTACAGCCCCCACCTCTGGGATCAAGCAGTCCTTCCGCCTCAGCCTGCCAAGTAGCTAGGACTACAGACATGCACCATCACACCTGGCTAATTTTTTTTTTTTCTTTTTGTAGAGATGGTGTTTCACTATGTTGTCCAGGCTGGTCTTGAACTCCTGAACTCAAGTAATCTGCGCACCTTGGTCTCTCAAAGTGCTGGGATTATAGGCATGAGCCACCACGCCCAGCTGTTTATTTTCTTTCTTTCATTTTTGGTTTATTTCCTTTAAACACATATTCTTAGAAGTGGAATTGCTAGGTAAAAAGATTTGCATTTTTTTTGCCTTTGATATATGTCACCAAGTTGCCTGCTAAAAGCCATGCCAATTTAAGTGTCCACTCAGTAGTTTCTTTCCCTCATCAGCCCTTTTCTGATATTGTATGTCATACAGTTTATTTTAAAGAAATTTTAAAAGTACAGAATGTTATGAAGAGGAAAAGTATATAATCATGAAATAGTCTTAATTACAGGATAGAATCGATTGTTGAGAGATACTTTAACAAGTTCTCCTTATGTTATTAAAATCTATGAAGATCCCTATATGTAAAAATTATTCCATGACAGAGGCTACCCCATAATTTTTATTAATTAGAACATTTCAAATTATAAAACCAGAAAGTATGACTATATAGGAAACTATTGTTATGAAATGTATGATTCTAGAAAATCAGTATTCATCTGTTCTATGTACACTGATCAAATACATATATTAAAATTTGAAAATGAAGTTTGCAAGTAGTTTATGAAAGAAATATAATGACTTTGGAATAAGGTTAAAGCTTTATTCACAGATAACAGTTTTGAAAGCACGTTTTATTTTAACTATTATATTCCCTTCTTTTTCTTATTAATTAATTAATTTATTTATTTATTTGGAGACCGACTCTCACTCTGTGGCTCAGGCTGAAGTGCAGTGGAAAAATCTTGGCTCACTGCAGCCTCAGCCTCCTGTGCTCAAGCAATCCTCCAACTCAGCCTCGCTGGTAGCTGGAACTATAGGCAAGTGCCACCATGCCTGGCTAATTTGTTTTTCTTTCTTTCTTTTTTTTTTTTTCCTATCCCAGGCTGGTCTCAAACTCCTGGGCTCAAATGATTCTCCCACCTCAGCCTCCCAAAAGGCTCAAATTACAGGCATGAGCCACCATGCCCGACTCCTTGTCTCATTCTTCTATTTTTCTTCTATTCCTGTCAGATTTTAGATCTTCCAAGCCTTACTTAAGTCCTTAAAATCTTTCTCCAAGAACTTCAGGCATTTGGGAACTTTAATTTGCGTATTAGGTAACAGAGCATAATATAGAAAGCCAGGCATAATAAAACATTAATTTAGATCCCACTCATTGAGATGTCAGTTCTCAGTGAGTTAAAAAAATTGCAAATAGCCAGGCATGGTGGCAGACGCTTGTAGTCACAGCTACTCAAGAGGATGAAGTGGGCAGACTGCTTGAACCCAGGACTTGAAGGCCAGACTTGATGACATATTGAGACCGCCATCTTTTTTTTTTTTTTTTTTTAAAAAAAAGGAAAAAATATTGTAAATAATTTATTTTGTTTTTATAACAGAATGTTCTTCTATTAACTTTCTCTAATTTAGGAAGCTTTTAAATGCTTTTTCTTACAAAGAACACAAAGTGGTCTAAACCCTTTATACCGTAGCCCAGTTTCAACAGTGATCAGCATTTTGCCATTCTTGTATTACCTATGCCTTCACTCATTTTCCGTCTCCTACTCGAAAATGGTTTATGGCTTTTTTTTTTAAAAGGTAAAATTTACATAAAGTGTACCAAATCTTAGGTATAGGATTTCGACAAACAGATAAATCCCTGTGACCCACACACTTGCCAAGACACTATGTTTTTCATTTTCATCTTCCCAGTCAGTAGCCATCTGTCTTGAGACAAATGCTCTTTTGAGGGTTTTTTCCACCTCAGATTAGTGTTGCCTATTCTGGAACTTGATATAAATAGAATCATACAGAATTTTTTTTTTTTTTAAGACAGAGTCTAGCTCTGTTGCCCAGGCTGGAGTGCAGTGGTGCAATCTCAGCTCAATGCAACCTCCACCTCCCAGGTTCCAGTGATTCTGATGTCTCAGTCTCTGGAGGAGCTGGGATTATAAGCACGTGCCACCACGCCTGGCTAATTTTTGGACTTTATATTCTTTGTATCCAACTTCTTTCGCTTGATCTAAATCCTGTGAAAGTCATTCATGTTGGCATGAGCTGAGTATTCTTCCATATTGTATGGATATATCACAATTTGTTTTTCTGTTCTATTGACAGACCTTTAGGTTGGTTCTGGTAAAGCTTCTGTGAACTGGTTAACTTGCCTTTCTATTTGCTTACAGTATATATTGGTTTTGAAATACAATAGCATCTAATTTAAAATGCCACTAATTTATAATTTTTGAGGCTGATCTTTCCCTCACTCCTCCACCTTAATATATTCTTCGGAGTTCATTGTAGTGCTTCTGCAAATATCATTAATTTTAACATTTAACATTTCAAAGTTTATATAAAACTGCTGCCTAGTAGTTGAAAATTCTTGCTTTTGTCAGAAATTGAATTAAATACTTTTTTGAACACCACAGTTGTCCCCCAAAAATCATTTTACCTTTCACTAAACTAAGGGCACAATAAGCAAATAAGCAATCTCTCTTTTTTCTTTTTTCTTTTTTTTTGAGATGGAGTCTCACTCTGTCTCCCAGGCTACAGTGCAGTGGCATGATCTTGGTTCACTACAACCTCCACCTCCCCGGTTTAAGCAGTTCTCTTGCCTCATCTGCCAAGTAGCTGGCACTAAAGGCATGCAGTACCATGCCCGGCTAATTTTTGTATTTTTAGTAGAGATGGGGTTTCACTACTTTGGCCAGGCTGGTCTTGAACTCCTGACCTCAAGTGATCTCCCTGCCTTGGCTTCCCAAGTGCTGGGATTACAGGAGTAAGCCATTGCACCTGGCTAATCTCTCTTTTTTATTTCTCATTTGTTTTTCATTTTCTTTTTCAGAATTGAGCCCCTGAGTCCGGAGTTGGTAGCAGCTGCATCTGCTGTGGCAGATTCTTTCCCTTTTGACAAGGAAACAACCAAGTCAGAGCTGCTGAGACAGCTCCAGCAGCATGAGGAAGAGTCAAGGGCACAGAGAGATGCAGAGAGACCTAAAATTAGGTGAGTGGATCAAACCATTAGGTCAGTAAGGCGTATATCTCAAAATGGGCCATTTTCATGTGGCTAGTGAGTAATACACATAATATATACCACATCGGTAGAATTTATATATAAAATATACTACATAATTTTAGCAATTCCATATTTTAAAAACATATGGCTTAAGTATGATTATAATTTTTAAGAAACCAATTGAATATAGTTTCCTTTTAGGAAGTTACAGTTTCTTGTCCATGAAAAAAGAAATGGTAAATTCAGTAATGTTATTAAAAATCAATAACAGAACAAGGTAGCTTCTCTGAGAAAAGTAATTTTTTTCAGTTAAATAGTTTGCTGGTTTTATGCACGGTATGATAGTCTTCAGGTCTGTTTCCTTCTCTTTTTCACCTTATTCTTACATTTCAGCTGACGTCTTTCCACTTACTCTCTTCATCTCTCATTATTTTATGTCATGTTGTACTACTTGCTGCCTGTATTACAGTAAGTGGTAACCCTGCTTCATTTTGGAGAGTGATCTAAATCAGTTGTTCTCGAAGAGTGTGTGTACCAGATTTATTTCAGGAAGTTAAAAGAAATGGCCATGTGCACTTGCTCATGCCCATGATCCCAGCACTTTGGGAGTCTGAGGCAAGAGGATCACTTGAGGCCAGGAATTTGAGACCAGCCTGAGCAACAAAGCAAGACCCCATCTCCACAAAACATAAAAAAATTAGCTGAGCATGGTGGCATGTACCTGTAGCTCTAGGAACTTTGGAGGCTGAGGCAGGAGGATCACTTAAGTCCAGGGTTTGAAGCTGTATTGAGCTGAGATCTCAACCCTGCACTCCAGGCTGGGCAATAAGAGTGAGACCTTGTCTCTAAAAGAAATGGTTAAGTTTAAAAAAAAAAAAAAAAAAAAAAAGGAAGACATATTTGGACTGTCAGTTCAGTCAGTGACTCATTTTATTTGTCTTTGAACAAATACAAAGAAACAAATAAACATGGCTAACTTGGTTTTAATTTAGTTATTGAATGTAGGCAATAGGTATACAGATACTGATTTTACTTTCCTATCATTTTCTCTGAGTAATTTTTCATGAGAAATGTTTTATGTTTTAAATGAGGATTTCTGAAGAACATCTTTAAATGATTAAAGTAAACATAAATTGTAATGTTCTGTGTTATGTGAATGTTAATAGGTGACATTTTTTATTTAAACATTTTTTTGGCTGGATATGGTGGCTCACGCTTGTAATCCCAGCACTTTGGGAGGCTGAGGCAGGCAATTCATGAGATCAGGAGTTTGAGACCAGCCTGGCCAACATGGTGAAACTCTGTCTCTACTAAAAATACAAAAAATTAGCTTGACATGGTGGCCGACGCCTGTAATTCCAGCTACTCGGGAGGCTGAGGCGTGAGAATCACTTGAGCCTGGGACGTGGAGGTTGTAGTGAGCTGAGATTGCACCACTGCACTCCAGCACGGGCAACGGTGCAAGGCTATGTCTCAAAAAAAAAAAAAAAAATTTTTTTTATGCTGTATAATTAGTGCATAAAATGAAATAAATGAAATAAAAATTAAATGATATCAGTCTCAGGTTTAAGTAAGCTTGACTGTTCTGTAGCTAAGATTTCTTATACAGTTGACCTTTTTATTTTTCCAGTTTCAGTAACATAATATCAGATATGAAAGTTGCCAGATCTGCTACAGGTAGAGTTCATTTAAGACCAGAGCATCAGATTCGGTTTGATGAAGGCCTTGACGATTATCCTGACCAGAAGACCGCTAATTATAGAAAAAGGTATCAGGCTTTATAATCTGCTGGGTTTTGTTTGTGTAGTTTGTTTTTACCTTAGCTGTAGATTTATCTTATTGTGTATGTTATTGCTGTTGGGTATTTGAGCATTATGAATGCATTTACATATGTGTTCTTATTCTCTGTATACCACATCCTAGAGAAGGAACCACGTGCTGGATTTAGCCAGTCCTGCAGTTTTCCATACCTTAAATCAAATTGGGCCATGCGTCACATCTACCCATGATGAATCGGGGTCCTTTGATTTAAAATAATGGAGCTGACTGAATTCTGAGCAAATAAGTATTTTGTGAGAAATATTATTTTTCATTTTAAATATAAGTGTCTAATACTGTGTATTCATATACCCTTTATATCTCAATACATGCTTATCTTTTTGTATACCTTAGAGAAATAACCCACCATCAACGCAAAGGAGAGGCAAGGGGAAAAAAGTTTATACAATACCTTAAAGTGGTAGATTATTTGTGGCCCTTTGAATTTACTGATTTGAAGTTCTTAAAGATACTGAGCCATGCCTTACATAGTTATTTTTGAATCTAAAGTTGTTCTGTATTTGCATAAAGTTTCTGTTCTTTCTCCCCTTAAACTCTGAAAATGAGAGCTAGGAAGGAGGAACCAGATATTTGGCATGGTCTGGCAAAAATTATCTTGTCTTTATAGCAGGATATGTTCACAGTTGGAGTGTTTTCAATGCGTTGTGTATTCTGTGGATTTGTTTTAAGTAAAATCAGGAACTTGAGTTAACTCCTTCCAGGGTGTTAAACTACTGATTTATGCCAGAAAGTTGGAAAAGGTGATTAGCAGTTAACACAGGAAGTTTCAAGAGGTTATAGTGACTTTTGAAGATTATTTGAATTACTAATTTAAAGCGATTTAGTATCTGTTATATATTATTGAATAAAGGAGAAGTTGTACTTGGAGTTTTACTTAAGAATATTTAACGAAATCAGTTAATCCTCGAGAATATTTAACTGAATCTTTCATCTTGGACATGATTCTGTACAACGACATTAGGATGGTATATTATAATTTGATATTTTAAAAATTAGAAGCTAAAGTAGGAAAGGGGTTTTTGTGCCTTCAATATGTTAAAAAGCCAGCTAGAGGGGAGTAAAGGGAAGCAATGTTGAGACGCCAGGTTGTTCACCCTGCTATGACTGGAGCAGGTTCTGGGGTATCAACCCCAGGCAACCCAGGCCTGGACTGATTCCTTCTGTTATTATACTGGCCTGCCTCAGAATGTTGGCACTGCCACTGACTAATTGTGTGACTGGGCACATTTATAGCCTCCATCAGCTTGTTTCCCCAGCTATAAAATGGTGAAAGTGAAACCCAGCTTAAATGGCTTTCTTGAGGAATAGAAAAGAAAACACGTTTAGGCCGGGCGCGGAGGCTCAAGCCTGTAATCCCAGCACTTTGGGAGGCTGAGGCGGGTGGATCACGAGGTCAAGAGATTGAGACCATCCTGGTCAACATGGTGAAACCCTGTCTCTACTAAAAATACAAAAAATTAGCTGGGCATGGTGGTGCGTGCCTATAATCCCAGCTACTCAGGAGGCTGAGGCAGGAGAATTGCCTGAACCCAGGAGGCGGAGGTTGCGGTGAGCCGAGATCGCGCCATTGCACTCCAGCCTGGGTAACATGAGTGAAACTCCATCTCAAAAAAAAAAGAAAGAAAGAAAGAAAAAAAAAAAGAAAAGAAACACGTTTAAACTATTTGGTACGTAGTAGGTGCTCAGCAAATGTCCATTCCCTTTCTTTGTAGTACATTCCTCTTTTGAAATGCAATATTTTACCAAGGCATTCGCCCTCTGCTGTGACTTGCTGTAATCCACCATCCTGTTTACCAGACGTGCGGTTGAGGGGGAAGAATGCAAGGCACTCAAGAGTTCTGGAGCATAAAAGCCTTTGTTTACAAATAACTTGGGAACCTACTAGAGTAAAGATTATATGATTTGAGATCATGTTATTTAATGTTCATATGGTATTTGCATTTTTTCCAGTTGCTTCTATTTAGTAGAGAGAAGTAATTTATTTTATTTTTTTTTTAAATTCAAATTATTTTTAAAACTAACCCTCCAGTTTATTTTATTTTTTTATTTTTTGAGATGGAGTCTTGCTCTTAGCACCCAGTCTGGAGTATGGTGGCATGATCTTGGCTCACTGCAACCTCTGCCTCCTGGGTTCAAGGGATTCTCCTGCCTCAGCCTCCTGAGTAGCTGGGATTACAGGCACCGGCCATCACACCCAGCTAATTTTTTTGCATTTTTAGTAGAAACGGGGTTTCACCACTTTGGCCAGCCTGGTCTCGAACTCCTGCCCGCAGGTGATCTACCCGCCTTGGCCTCCCAAAATGCTTGGATTACAGGCACGGGCCATCTTGCCTGGCCAGCCCTCCAGTTTATAAACTTGATTTTAATCTGCCAGTAAATTTATTCAAGTAAACCTGTGAATTGATGCATAAAACAACTGATTATCAAGTGTGCAAGAAAACATTACCTATTAACTCCCTGATATTTTTAGTAGTTAATTTTAAATAGTCATGTAAAGATAGTTAATAATTAATTTTAAATTACAGAATTATTGCTTTATGAAAGGGAATGTTGTGATTTACCTATGCAATCTTTTATAATTATAATTTCTAATTAAACATTGTAGTGTTTTCTGCCCTTAAAGATAAATGTTGACTTTACAGCTTCTATCTATTTTAGCATAGTTTTATAGTTTTTTACAACATGGAGTTTTTAAAACCTTAATATAAAAGGGAAAAAATAAAAATTTTGGCAAATTAAGCCAATCTTTTCAATTAGGTATTTTGGAAATTAAATTGCTTTAACTGATTTGTTGTATTATGAAGCAAAACTCAAGTGCACATTTCTGTTTTTAGTTTATGGTTCCTAAAAATGTGGCAGTTTAGCTAAGATGTTTGATGTGGGTCAGTGGAATTATTTTTCATTTCTACATAGAATATTTCACTTAAGATATTTTCTCACAATTTTTGTTGACAGTTTAAAATATATTCATTAAAATGCTATTTTCGTTTTTTAGAAATACGAAAAGTATATTCAAGGGGAAAAGACTTTATATTTTTGACATGACGGCAGCTACTAAAGAAGACTCTGAAACAGGTTTGTCAAGAATAACGCTTTCTCAGGTGGAGAAACATTTCATCTTTCTAAGATGTCCTTAGTGTTCTGATGGTGTAATAGTTGGATATTTTAATATTCCATCCTGTCATTGGCCTGGATCCTGCTTACAAATGTGGCAGTTGTTATAAGGAAGACTTGGGACTGTTATGTCCCCCCAAACAGGGAAGGCGTTGAGAGACCTTTGCTGAAAGCGAAGCTAAAAGAACAACCCCACTTCTTGTATTGCAAAAACTGCATTCTCTTATGTATGATAGAATAATGTGGGCAAGTCCAGCTTGACGAATAGATGAGTTTACTAGAACTTACATACTGGACATTCCTGGGCAGCTCTAGAGTCTCACTGCCTCCCATCTCTAAGCTGCCTTAAAGCTAATGCTCTGACTGTTTGTCAACTCTGTGTGCGTGATGACAGTGTTTTCTTTGATATGTTCCCAGGTATGCCCTGGGATGTTTGGGTTCTCAGGGACACCTGCTCCTCAGCTAGGCACTATGGCCTTGGCTCCCTGCCCAGCCTTCAGGATCAAAGCAACACACACACACGCTTAAGTAACCTGACGGGGGACACATCATATTACAGTTGTTGACATTACTAGTTTTGGTCAGGTTTCCCCCTTGAAATGTTGCATTCTGTGAGACAGTGGGAGGTAAGTACTACCAGTTACCAAATCCAGAGGTCCAGATGAGCTACTGATTTGAGTGAGAACATTTATAATCAACTACCATTTACAGCGTATCTCTGTGTTATTACATAAAGATGTACTGGTTCCTGCCCTTAGGCAGCTTACTGTCGAGAAGTGGAGATAGTATTTATAAAATAACTTATTGAAGTGACTTAGTGATTGTTCAGGAGATGGAAAGAACATTCAAGAAATCTATTTAAGAGACTTGTAGTGTTTTCTTTGGGCAAGAAATTTGCCATTTTAAATCTAAAATAGAAGTAAGAGTGTCCTCTTGCTTGACATTAAATTTGGTTTACTAGTAAAATAAATGAAGAAACTCAATACAGAATGTCTCCAGCATATAAATGATGAACATTTCTAAAGAGTAGAAGTTCGTTTTTTGGACCTTGGTAGAAATAATGTTGTATATGGACTTTGGAGGCTGAGATAACAGGATGGCTTGCTACAAGATCAGCCTGGGCAACGTAGTGAGCCCCTTTCTCTAAAAAATAAAAAAAAATTATCCAGGCATGGTGGTGCATGTCTGTCATCCTAGCGACCTGGGAGGTCGAGATGGCAGGATTACTGGAGCACAGAATTCGAGGCTGCAGTGAGCTATGATTGTGACATAACACTCCATCCTAGGCAACAGAGTGAAACTCCATCTCAAATGGGAAAAAAAAATGTTGTATATGATAGATAAGGCCAGCCTCCAAGGGTTCATTTAATCTTTCTACCAGTTACTTATAGGAACTTTTTATTTTCCCCCTATTTAATAGACTATTAGGGGTTATATCTCATTCACATAGCACCTATTCATGTGGCTTACAGATCATAGGAACTAGTTATCTTAAATCTTAAATGATTTTT